AAGGAAAAAGAATATGCACAATCAGTTTATAACCAATAGCACCACTATCGATCTGAGGTCGAAAGTCAAAAGTCAAAAGAAGGCTTCTTCCTGTTAGGCGACAAGATAATACATGACCTCCGACCGCTTAAAGACCAGAAAAGTAATCAGTGCGAATGTGCTGCCTAAACCTTCCTCATCCATCATAGGGAATTGACGTTCAGTTCTCATGATTTAATCAGTTTGGGCCTATGAAGGAGGTACTCAAAGGACATCAATTCTACAATTATAATGAGGTGAAAGTGGAAAATTGTACATGATTAAGCAGCAAGGAACTTTTTTTTGAGATGAACACGACACCTTTTTTGAGACGAGCAAGGAATTTTTTCTAAGATGAGCAAGCATGATCATATTCAAAGTTAGGATAACATAGAAAGGAAGGAGTATATATTGAGGAGTGGGCCTGTTGTTACTGTTTCCCGGAATTCTTTGAGGGCTTCTATTATGACATCTGTTATGATTAAAGAAAAAAATAGGCATTCATATATGGCTGACAATCGACGAGAAGAATTGAGAAGGAATGATTCTGTGTTGGAAATGGAATTTGTAATCCTAAGACTGTTGTGTTCCCCTTTGTATGTTTATGTGTTCAACTACAAATAAGTCTGATTCTAATTAAAGAATAATGAATAAAATCATTATCATCATGTTTTTTTTTTAACTGTTAAGGTCGTTGGAGCAGCATAAAGGCTTTAATAAAAAATACCCGGATCGTACAGTGGGAAGAGGTTACGACTTGGGACGTACAGACACACGAGATGCTGTAAATAAGCAAGAGAAATAAGACGAAAGAAATACGAGTCAAGCATTAATAAGAATTGAAGATGCTTCATCTAAGAAATTCACACAACTTTAAATTATTACATCTTATTATAAATTGGTTTGGTTTGGTTTACGGCATATGGATCTAAATCGGTTATTTAATGCCGACAAGAATTTTACTGCCGATAATATTTTTTTTCAAAAATGTATTGCTGGTAATACTTTTTTCTTCAAAAATTTACTGCTGGTAAAGTTTGTTTTTTTTCAAAAATTTATTGCTGATAATGTATTACTAATAATATTTCTTTCAAAAATGTATTGCTAGTAATAATGTATATCTGGTAATATTTTTTCTTCAATATCTGTCTACATTTCTGAGATGAGGTATTATGTACACTATTTACATTATTCGGACTATTGTCCTCATCTTTGTCGCCATATTTTTACAACTTTTCGGCCATTGTACGCTCCGACCTTTTTCTGGGGCTTAGAATGTCAAACTGAACCCTTTATTTTGCTCGCTGGGGTAGACTGCTATAGTTCCACGTGCCATGTTTAATGGAAGTCAGTTATCAGTTATTTCCTGTTAATTCCCCTCTCCAATTTCTCGGCTGCCTTAACCCTTTTGGGTCCTGTCACTGGATCTAACTAACGCCTTTATCCACTGTGTCATGTATCCTTGAAGACACCCCAGTGAGCGAAATGAAGGTTTCAATTCGACATTCCAACCACCTGAAGAAGGCCGGAGCATAAAACGGCCGAAACGTTTTTTCTTAAAAAAATTCATTAATAGCAACAGATTTTTACAAAAATGTATTACTGGTATTAAAAGCTATTTTTACACTTTCATGGTGTTTTCAACCCAGTTTGGAGGTTAACTATTTGTCCATATCTGGGACCCTAATACATTCTACCGTCCGGGTCAGTGTGGACCTAGATACACCAGAAATTAAGAGGTGGTTGCACGCTCCTCAAAACCTCTACTTGTGTTTTCCTTCGTTAGTTCCTTAAGTAGTAATGTAGATTCCCTTTGCTTTTTCTATAAAGACTTTCATGGTAATAGTACTGATGAACTTTCCTCTTTATTCATTCTAAATATTCATTCGGATTTCATTTAAAAATGTTGTTGTGGAGAGGTTCAAATCCTGCGCGCGATGACGAATAAAGGTGTCTGGATTTTTGGCCACATTCTCGTGCACTGCAGCAATATTTTCAGCCGAACGGTGTAAACGAGCACGCAATGGTGTTTTCACATCTGCAAATTTGTTTGAATTTACGAACAATTTTTCGAACTGGACGCTTGAAACTTTAACGCGTTATTTGATTGTCAATCTTTGCATGGTTGAAATTACCAAAGAAATAAGTTGTTAAATCTGAAAGAAAAAGAAAAAAAAAACATTAGACGCTTAAACTTAATTCATATTTTAAATCGGTCCAATTACTGGAACACCATTTATTAGTTGTAACCAGATTTATTAAATCTTATCAAGACGATTCTAAGAGAATTAGAAGACCAACCAGAATCTATTAACAGGGAACATCATCCTAGTAACATCAGATGACAATTTTTCTCGCCCGTGTTAATCTTACATATTTATAAGTCTACCATTCGTCCATAGTTTAAATATTGCTGCCAGCGCTGGCCCAGTGCTTCTGGTGTACATTTAGAGATTCTTGATAAAATCCAAAGAAGCATCAGCAACATTATCGCGCCTGACGTGGCGGTTTGGCTTCAGTCACTTTTCCACTGCCGTAAAGTTGTATATTTAGAGATTTGTGATAAAATCCAAAGAAGGAATCAGCAATATTATTAGTCATGATCTGGCGATTCGGTCTCAATCACTTTCCTATCGCTGTAATTTACCTCACCTGTACCATAAGAACTTTCATGGTAATTCTACCTAGACTTTATGAATTTAAACGCAGTACTAGATTGGCGACTGGGTCCCATCAATTCACAGTTGAATTTGCTAGATGTAACCGTAAGTTCTATGCTAATAGTTTCTTCTATCGCATTTCTTGTTTGTGGAAATCTCTTCCGACATCATGCTTTCCCTCAACTTTGCCCCCCAAATTTTCCTGCAATATCAACCCCCCATCTATTTTCTTTATTAGTCTGCTATTCTTCTCGCTTCCTAATATATTTTTTTTGTTCTTCCACACTCAGTAACCCATTGTGCATCAGTGGTTTTACTCTCCTGCATGGGGTGATATGATTAAAAAGGAAAAAAAAGACTTCATAACTGATTGCAGTCAAGCTGTTGGATTATTCGCTATTATTGATGAATTTGTACATGGGTTCATCAGCCTGTAAAAAAATGATGTTGAAATGACGCTGGACGTGACTAACTACACATCCCATTGAAAACCCATGTTCTGGCACCTTACTAGCAATTCATCGGTCTGTACACTCATTAGCTTTACGCTTGAATGGAGATGTGCATGCCACGGAAAAACTTGGGTTCTACCCACTGTCCATCGGAACAATCAACTTGAGCGTTTACATTTCGATTTGACTCCTGGGCAGTTTTGAAGTGTGCATGCAACTTTAAAAACCTAACCTCTTTCTGGCGGTTTATTAAAGGTTGATGTTATTCAAAACCTTTTCTTCTGTCATTTTACTGTCGATTTATCAATCCGTGTATTCAGCCTTTCAAAGTTGACGTCTCGAAACGGCCTTCTGTCAGGTTGATATCGATTTATCAATCCATTTCTTCTGTCATTTTGAAAGTCCATTTTCATTCAAACCATTTCTTCTGACGCTTTTCGAAGTGACGCTCGACCAGCCTTTAAAAGTGTATTCTATTGATAAACATTTTTTTTATGACATTTTAATAACGACTCATAAAAATGTATGCTGATCTCTTTGAAATGGCACTCGACCGGAGTTGAAATGTGTATACACAAAAAAAACAAATGTCTTCGACCGAAAGAACGAATCAAATATTTTGCTAGTAGATTTACCGCGTTTCTGGACGAAGTTTATGCTAGAATTTTTCAGCCATTCTAATCCTGGCATTATAGCTGCTCTGGCGGAATTGGTTCTTTTCTGTAACAGCGACGAGTGCTACCATCAGCATATTACCGTTTGACTGGTTAATCAGAGCACATAGAGTTCGGAAAGTTTTTGTTAGCTCCTCGCAAATATCGGAAACTATAAGCAGTTTGGAAGCCAGTTAATATTTACTAGTTAGGATCAAATCTCCAACGCCATTTTCCATTGACCTCAGGTCCGTATTGAATAACTGTTGCTGTAATTGAAGTTGGCATCAGTTGTCCATCTTGTAAGTGTGTAGTCGACTAATGTTCATCATCTTTCATCCATATCCCTGCAAGGTGGCAGTCATTCTTCAAATGACTGAAGCTGAAGTTAACGACTCGTCATGTGCTCTATGATACTAACGAAGATTAATTTAGTCTGGTATAAGGTCATAAGTGTGGAGTACTCGATAAGTCTCATATTCACTACCACAGTAGCAATGGTCTAATAGAATGCATTTGAAATACAGCTGTGTTACTCTACTGTATATACACCTGATATTTGCGAAAAGTACCAGAGTCTGACACAAGACGGAAGGAGCGCCGCTGATTTGTTTGCTTTCGCACTATTGTCTCTGGAAAAGTTATAAATCTATATTTCTCCAGCTATAGGTTAAATAGTAGAGTAGACTTGACTATCTTGCCTTATCTGGCATTAGGGGTAGGATAAATAACACCAACCCATAAACAAGAGGAGAGAATCTATTCTTTAGCCTTGGTAGGACAACCAGTCTAGGAGAAGAAAAGAGTTCAAGCTCCTGTAAATAATAGGGCAGACTGGGATTTATAGCTTTAGTAGAAGCACAAGAATAGAAGTGCAACCATGCATAAAAAAACAACTTCAAAACGGATGGACCTGTCTGAGTGCCTTGCTCTAGGTTCATCCGCTGTTGCACTGATTGCATATTGGTTGTTTGATTCGTTTTCTCCGGCTTTATCAACCCTTTTCAGGTTATTTAAAGCCAGAAAATATTTTTAGATTTTAAGAGTTCTATTTCGAAAAAATAAGGGTTTAGTCTTATTTAATTCATAGCTCGGGGAAAGGTGGATTCATGCCTTTCCCAAGGGTATCTGCGTATAAGTGAATATAACGAACACAGCTGGAATTGTAACTCGGCTCTTCGATTAATAATCCATTACCTCATTCGTTCACCCAAGTTTACAGTAGCTGGTATTTCCAAGCGGTCATCCACTTAAGTACTGACCAGATTCGACGTTGCTTAACTTCAGAGATCATACGGGAACTGGTGTTTCAACGTAATATATCTACAAGTCTGCACTGGTTACAGTACATCTACGATTCTAATGGGTTACGAAACTCATAATCGTTATTCGAACTATTCTTCTGATTTTTAATTGTTATAGAGGTTATTATAGATGTAACGTTTCAGCCATATTCTCTCTGGCCATCATCAGGGGTTCATTATTTTTTAAACTTTTCCAGGATATCTTCTATGAGCTGAGAACATCTATACAACAATAACTGAATAATAGTTTCCACAATTTACGTTATTTACAATCGGACTATTTTCTTTAGATTTGTTCGGGTTTTCATCTGATGGTTGTCGATACTAATAACCTTTAGAAAATTTCAATCTGAACTCTTTATTTAATCTGAGATTATAGATTGTTCTTGTTCCGCTAAGCCTGTCTATGGATACCTCGTCTAGGTCGTGTTTAATACTGTTAAATGCCGCTATTGTTTCCACCAAATCTAAGTCTGCACTACCAAGCCAGCGATTGAATTCACAATAAGCATGGAATCAAAATCACGAATGACAAAACCCGGAACCTTAAACATATTCAGTCTGCTACAGTAACTTCCGCTGTTTCTACTTTTTGTGCTTGCCTGCTTTTACAGAAGCTTCTCTTATCTTACTGCTGATGCTGTTGAAGCTTTACTGTCATTTTTCTTACTTTTTATTAACAGCTCCTGTATAATAGCTATTTCTACGCTAGGCCTATTAATGAAATTACAATATCCTAGAGTATGCGTTGATCTTACAAACGTTCTTTTTCTTTATAAACTAAGCAGAAAAATTTAATTACGACATCTAATGAAATTATGCGTAAAAATCAAAAGTAATGCTAAAGTATAGAAGGCGATATAGAAAGCAAATATAAGAGCGTATTACCCTCTGGATACGTGGGTAGTTTATTGGTTCTTTTTATGTGCCGTGTCCCTTCAGGACGTAGGTTATCATGGCTCTCCTCTTCCCTTATTGTTTGTAACTCTCGATAAATGTCATCCTTTTGCCACCTCATCCAGGCTACGTTTCGTAATCCACCCGCTTTAGTCCACCAGGTATGTCATGCGTTGTTTTCCCTTGTTTCGGAGCAAAGCACTGGTCGTTTCAATACGCGTTTACTCACCTTTTTTTCACTTGGTTCAAATGCATTTTGAAAAGAAACTTTCTTTCTTTCGATTTTATTTTTTTTAAATTTTTACAAATTCCCTTTGCGCAGTGAATTAATAGGTCAACAATTCGGCTAAAATTGTCGACCGAGAAGTCAATATTTCTCCAGCTTTACAGAAGAATTAGCCGCGAAATTGGACAAGAACGGCTTCCTTCAAGAGACTGGAATAGGTCTGTGATATCTATGCTTGGAATGCATCATAAGGAGGAATACAGATGAAAATGGGATATATACCTATATTTTTTAAGCTTATGCCATGGAATTTGACAGTGTACGTCACTAAGAAGCAATACTGTGAGAATTAGATGTCCTACCAGGATTTATAATTGGCGATCGCAATCTTGACAGCATTAAGTGTGCAGATGATATCGTGACACAGAAAGGATTAATTTTGATTTTGATTTGTTGTTTAATGACATATCAACACCGTATGGCCATTTAAGTCTAAAATTTAGTTTTCATGGGAGCTTTGAAGTAACAAACATATGTCATTCTGATTTCACAATTGAATACATGGTAGATAATTCTCAGCTTTTGTGCACATGTTTCTGTGGGAATCATTACTAGTGGAGGTGATATGTGTGTTTATGTTGTGGCTTTATTGCAGTTATATTTTGGAATAGAGTTTGATTTAACAAATTGTCGGATATTATGTGGCTTGATATCATGAAAACGTCTTTTCATGTTGGTTGTTTTGTAGTATTTTGGGCGAAGTCACTACAATTTTTAGTATCTGCGTATTGTTGGTAATTTTACTATAAATATGTATTATTGGTAATTTTTTATATAAAGAAGTATTACTGGTATTTTTGCCATAAAAATTATTTTTATATTTCCATAGTCATTTGTTTGGGGTTCCTCTATTTACCAATAGTTGGGGCCCTAGCAGGTGCTACCACACCAGCTCAGGGTATACTTGGATCAACAGCAATTAAGAAGTGGTTCCACGATTCTCTAAACTTCCATTTTCCCGATCATAGGCCTTACTGCTGGATGTAGTTTATTATCGTGCCCAGAACTCACAAAAAGGAACCTATGGGAATCTGAACAGAAGGCAGTAAAGGAAAGGGGGAAGAAGAAAAAAATACTAAACAACAATTGTAAAAAGATGAATTGTATAGTTGTCAGCAAATAGCCCAAAATGCAACTTACAAATTGAAGATACCAAAATTAAGAAATTGGAAAATTTCATTAGAAACGAAAAAAAAGAACTGTTATGTAATATAGACCTTTTTAAACAGTTAATGGTGAAAAAGCTTATCACAGATGGAGAAGAGTCTTGAAGCAACAGAAATGTGGTTCTAGAGAAGGATAAAAAGAATAGATTGGAGTGAACACGTGAGCAACAATTAAGTTTTAGTGATGTGGAAAGAATAAAGACACTTATACGTAGCAATAGAAAGAGAAACCGTAATTTTTTTCGGTGCATAATGAAGAAAGAGAGGCTGGAAAAATATGACACCCACAGAATAAATTGAAGGCAAAATGGATCGAGGAAAGCAACGCAAACCTCACGAACGCGTGTAAATGGATAGAAGAAAAGGGGTTAATAAAGATACCAAAAAGGACAAACATTACTAAGGGCAGGATGCTGTGGAGAGCAGTGAACGTCCACGAAGAAGAAGAAAAAGAAGCTATTACATTATCGACGCTTCTAATTTATAAAGTTGCGGATGTTCTTAGTCAAAGAGGTAGCCATGACGTCCTTATCACGTTGGTCTATGAATTGTTAGGAAGAGACCGTGATAGACATTGTGGGGAAAATAGAAATGTCTTTCCTCCCAAACGCCCTCGCGTCTGTCTGGCCTGTGGGTTGAGAAAAGAAAGAAAGGGTCCAAGATGGCGTCCGTGACTTTTTAATGTTCACGGTCTCGTGCAGTCTCGCAAAGTCGCGTTACACGCATGCTAATGAGGTGTGTCTGGGCTCCATAAAAGCAGGTCGCTTGGAGAAATTGGCAGAAGCCATTACACCCGTGTTCGGTATACATTGCTTTGCGTTGCGTCGTGTCAGACATATTCTTACAGAAACAGTTGCGTCCCTCACACTCCATATTGAATTTGACTCCTTTGCTACAGACATCATAGTCATAAACTCCACAATAACGTAGTAAGTAACAGCTACAGAAGGAGACAACTTCTCTACACATATACGACGTCATCAGTGTCACCTCGAGGTGGTGTAATGGTTAGCACGCTTGTCTCGTTAGAACAATTATGACTGAGTAGTGAGTTCGATCCCCACAATTTTCGGCCTTTGCCACATCTAAGCTACGCTTGAAAAATCAGTACACCTCGTAACCAATAAAGGGATATGCAAATTAATTTTCACTGTCTGCGAATAAGACGATGCGATAAGTTCGTTATGTTTTCGTATCGTGACGATGAGGAAGAAATAAGTGACAAATTTCCGGAAAGCTAATGTATGCAATGCCATATCCATACTACATATCGAAAGAATCTAGTAATAGAAAAGTGAATCCATGTTTTGTCTCCCGAGGCCAGTGCACTGATGGTGAGCGGGATCATGCTGATGATATAGATAGTTGTAATTGCGATACGAATGATCTTGAACGGAAAATCATTAGTCAACCATTGAATAAAAGCAGTGATAACACATACTCCGAATCAAACCTTAAATACAGAATGAAGAATCTTAAATACTAAACATTAAAAATAACTCTGCGTATCGATCAATTCTAACCAATTTAATATAAGAAATAAGGAAAATAAATATAAATAAGATGTCCTAGGAGTAGTTTTGTCTAACACCACAAGGTGCTAAAGGGCAAAACCTAAGAATTAGACTTTCACCTGAGAACTAGACTTTCACACAGATGTCACGCATAGCATCAAACACCTTCAGAAATATCTATCAGGAATATATAACTGCTTTCTCAGATCAATAATTAATGTGGATTCCAGTGTATGAACCCTGTGGTTCTTGAAAAGGACTATCCTTCTTCGGACCTTGTAGACTGACGCTACCGAATCACGAATAAGAGAAACCACACGACTTGAAGGCTTTCAACAGCAACAACTAAAATTGATAGCGATTGTAATTAGAAACGTAGATAATGACAGAATCGAGATGTTGACGTTCCACACTAATTCAAACAAAAAGTTAGGAAGGAAACCTCAATCAATAGTTGAAAAAGCGATAACAGCTGCTGAAGCTGAGATATCTAATTACCTCAGAAATAATTATCATAAAAATAATTTTTATAAATGTTAACCGACCGTAGCACTAACTATTCTCTCAATGAATATTAAAAGTTTCATTATAAGGAAGCGACTACTTTTTTCTTCTCTGTGCTGCGTTTCTACAGGGCGCTGTTGATCACAGGTCTCCACAATATCCTATTCCTTGTAGCTCTGAGAAACCTTTGCCCGTTTGTCATTTCTTCCACCCAAATCGTGTTCCACCTTTCAAAATGCCCCGTTGTTAGTGTTAAATTCTCCAAGATCTTTTCTCTAAATATGTGTCCCAGAAATAAATGTCTTTCTTGTTCTCATATATCCTAAGATTTATTCGTTACTTATATGTCCAGTCTATGATATTTTCAGCATCCTTCTGTAGAACCACATTTCAAGTCTTTATCTGTAAAAAAATCTTCAGAATGCACTCTCATACCTTTATGTCATACCATTCCGTTCAATAATGAACTTTAAAGGTTGATGAATTAAATAAGTTCTTGTTATCTACTGCACAATTTTTTGCAGTAGTGTGAGATCGTTTAACCCAAAGAGTGTGAGTTCAATACCTGCTTAAGGCGGTGGAGAACTTGAAGGGGAGAATTAACAGGAAATAACTGATAACTGATATCCATTAGACATGGCAC